GCGAAGGGCGTCTTGCAAGTGGGGCACAACACTGCCGTGTCCCACCTGGAGCTGCAGCGGAAGCTGCTGGCAGACCTCAACGACTCCACTTCTCATTACTCATCCTCTTTTTTAGGCTTAGGTTTCTATAGAAAGTTTCGATTCGGGTTGTTGAGTGAACAGATTCTCGTCGCAACCAAGGAGGCTCGGACGATGCTGGTTCAGTACCATCAGGCATTCCGCTGGTACGTGGACAATGGCCCGGATGACGTGGATGACTGGTACCTCAACTTCCCGTCGCTGCCTGCCGAGCCTGAAGTCCACATCACTGGAGCCGACCGTGCTGCCTGTCAGACTCTCATTAATCAGGTCACAGAGTCTCGGCAGACTTTAGAGCTGGTTTTGATTATTTGTTGGGTCTCTGGATGCTTGGTCTTGGCTTTTGCGGCGGCCCAGGATCGGTCGATGCGGCTGGCTCGGTCGTTCGAGATCTTGAATGCATGGTCGCTCCTCTTCCAGCAGAAGCATCCCCGCGGTGACTTCTCGCCGTTTCGGTCGCTTGTCGTGCCTCCACCACGTTGCTGGGCTCATTAGTCATTTTATTTTTTACGGCCGGGGAAAGGGCATAGGGCATAGGGCTTTAAAAATTTAAGAATATTCAATCGCCAAGAACGACCTTCTGCGGCTGCTGGATCGGACTCTGCTGCTGGGGCGTCTGGCAGTGGCAGCGCGGCGTCTGGAGCTGGAGCTGGAGCTGGAGCTGGAGTGGCCAAAGGCCCTGGAGTGGCCAAAGGCCCTGGAGTGGCCAAAGGCGCTGGAGTGGCCAAAGGCCCTGGTGGAGTGGCCGTGGCCAAGGGCCCTGGAGTGGCCAAAGGCCCTGGTGGAGTGGCCAAAGGCCCTGGTGGAGTGGCCGAAGGCCCTGGTGGTGGAGTGGCCGGAAAAGGCCCTGGTGGAGTGGCCGGAAAAGGCCCTGGTGGAGTGGCCAAAGGGCCTGGTCGTAGGGGCAAGGGCAGGTGAATCGAGCCTGAGGCCTCATAAGCCATAATAAATTTAAATGAATCGCTTGACCTTAAAGCATCGGCCGTGGTTCGATTCGCTGGCTCGCCGCTCATGTCAAAGGGCGGCATGGAAAAGTCTTGGCTCCTGAGGATTAGGTTAGGGCTCAGTTTGGGTAGATTTCATATTGGTTGCTGCCGAAGCTTTAGTTACGAACAGGTGCAAGCAATATTTAGAGTTACAGTCCAGTGGGTGGCTGGGGCGATTTCAGAATTCGAGGACTTACGCTTGTTGACGGAAATCAAACGTGATCCCCATTCACCTCTTAACCTCCCAAAACCAAGTTCCAACTCCTGTGGAGGACACCCGTAGACTCTTAGACTGGTGCAGTTTATCTCCGCCTTTACTTGAAGCTATCGCCTATTCTGGGCAGGTGGCAGCAGCTGGCCGCAGCTGGCACGCCCGGGCGTTCGGGGGCCGGTCAAGTCTTCATTGGAGTTCGGGGTTCAAGTGTTTGGAATCGACTTGCGCAGTCACTAAGGGCCCTTGACAATGGTTTAGGGTTTAGGGTTTGTGTTTGTCTTGAGTTTAGTTTCAACTTGATGCGGGTCCTTGTTGGAGTCTGCAGATAGCGTGACTGCACTTTCGAATCGTGTGATTGTTCTGGATTTTCGCGACCTCTGCTGAAACCCTCATCATCAATAAGTATGGAAGTACTTGCTTTCCTTATTATAGCATATGACGTGTGATGCAGTTGTCCATTATAAAAGTACCAATGTCAAATAATGGAATGGTGCTGCTGCTTGCGCGGTTTGGGATGGGGGCTTCTGCTCACGTTCAAGGAAGGTTTCTGGCTCTCTCCCAATGAAAGGTTACTGAAGTAAACCTCAAAGAGATTTCGGATAAAAGAAACTTGGGCCCAAGGAGAAAGCCTCTCAATACATCAATCACCCAAGCACGCTCAGGGCTGTAGAAGATCTGATCCACATCAAAAATAACGTGTCGTCCGACTGAAGATTAGATGTCTTCGCAGTAGCTTTTGAATTCTCTCGTTCTTTTTGAGATGGAGCTTGCCCTTGAGCTCCTGCGAAATTGACTTGGGTTGTTATTGTTGTTGTCGCTTATTCATCGTCGCACTGCGCCTCGTGGTATTCTAGCGGCATCGGACTCTGAAGTGGGTTGCCAGTGTTCAGCTTGAGTTTTAGGTGGGGAAGCTTGTTGTTCTCTGATCTCACGGCTCCGGGTTGTAGATAATCTTGTAGACGTCGGTTTGCAGATGCCAGGTGCACCTTTGGTTTGCTGGCTTGGCTGGCATCCGCAGGCACGACTTGCGTAGTTTGGCGGGGTTGAGAGATCTGCTTGGCAAGTAGACTAAGTCGACGTGTGGCCATGGGGGTTTTAGCGGGATGGAATTTTCATCCTCAGACCTCGGATTCTTCAACAACACCCCCAAGCGGCAAAATCCTGGAGGTACCTGCTTTCGACACCTTCTCGTAACAAACTTGCTTTCCTTCTAACCTCCAACCCAGTTATCAGAACCATTTCCAGGGCTTCCAGGGCTATTACTGACTATGGATGTCGGATAACGAAAGATGGGGTGTTCTGGGATCCGAGGTTTCATAGGCTCAAGATTCAACCCCCCCAAGCGGCAAAAACCTGGAGGTTCCTGCTTTCGAGGCCTTCTCGTAATAACATTGCTTTCCTTCTAACCTCCAACCCCGTTGTCAGAACCATTTTCAGGGCTTCCAGGGCTATTATTATGGATTTCGGATAACGAAAGACGGGGTGTTCTGGGATCCGAGGTTTCATAGGCTCAAGATGCAACTCTCCCAAGCGGCAAAAACCTGGAGGTTCCTGTTTTCGACGCCTTCTCGTAACCAACTTGCTTTCCTTCTAACCTCCACTCCCGTTGTCAGAACCATTTTCAGGGCTTCCAGGGCTATTATTATGGATTTCGGATAACGAAAGATGGGGTGTTCTGGGATCCGAGGTTTCATGGGCTCAAGATGCATTGATGACGTGCCAGTTGAGTCTTTTCATTCGTGTCGTAGATTGGAATCGGAAGCACTAAGTCATGCGGGACCAGAAATCTGACATATGGGGTTTGTCTGAACCGTCAAACTCCGCCCTAACTGTAACTTCGACATCCCTGGCAGTGTCACCTGCTGGCCCAAACCCCAATGCGCTCAGCGGCACCAAACCCAAACAGACAGGCCTAAGCCGATACTTGATTATTTCGTTGACTTGCCATGGCTGTGCAAGCTCATGGTCCCAAGTGCAAGTGCTTGGATTGCCAGTGGCCGAAACATTCGGCGACGTGGTCTGCAAAGTGCGTTTATCAGGATGCGGACGGCCGGGCGTTGACCAAATTTCTATAGATTCGGGATAGATAAGATAATTTCTTCTGGGTCGCGGGTTGTCGCTGATATGAATCATAATTGGACCGGCAGGCTTTTTCAGAACCTACCTCCAAAAGGGAGAGCACGGCCTCTCTTGTACTCTGTGCCAAGCATATGCTTCAGCATGCCCGGAGAAGGTGCGCAAATCAACTAGTTGGATTGCAGGCACCAAAGGAGCCCCCGCACAGATTCTCGCCTAAACTTATCCCCCTGTGGCCTTCAGGATCACTAAGTCTAAGTAGTACACAATAGAATTATCCGGATGACGGGCCTGTGTTGTTTCCAACGTCCAAGGCCCGGTGGAAAGATGCCGCCCATGCAGCTGGAAGACTTGCTGAGGCACGGCAACTTGTCCAAGAAGGCGGCTCAGCGGAACAACTACCACTCCGAAGCACTGCTGTACCACCTCAGGGGCTCGCTGGGATCGGAAGAGGCGCTGGCAATGATGCCGGAAAAGAACAAGCCGACGGCGGTGCCACAGAGAGGCGTCTCCACATCGCAGCTGCGCATCGCGATAGAAGTGTTGCATAGCCCAATGGGGGCTCAGGCTTCAGAGTACGAAAATCGCTGCCTCTCACAGAACAGGCCTGGCCTTCGTTTCCAAGCCAATCAAATGAAGTATAATGAATGAAGTCTTATAGCGAAGTAAGAGTAAGGTTCCTGCACTTCTGGTTCGGATGTTCAGGCTTGTGCCAGACCGCGTGCCGCTGCATCTTTCCAGCAAGGGCGTGCACACCCAGATTCTGAAGGCGTACGCACATGTTCTATGGTCTCGAGCTCGTGACGAGCTCAAGGCGGGCAAGGTCTTGGTCATTGCTTTGGCCCAGGACCGTGATGAGCCGCCTCCACTTCAGCCTTAAACGCTGCGGTTTCAATTACAAGGTAAGTCGTATTATATATTAGAAGATCAGGCCAAAGCCTAGTGGGATGCCACGGTCTTTTTCAAGTCGCCGTGCATTTTCCGCCCGCAAGGACGTCCGAAAGTCCATCGAATTGACCCGCGTGCGGTTCGTTCTGGAAGACCTGCAGGTTCGCCACTTTATCCTTTCTGTGGGAGACATAGATGGCCGGAAGGCCTGGGGTCATGAGAAATGTATTTGTTCGAGAGAAAATCTATCTTAGGTATTTGTATATCGTAAATAATTATACACATACAACCGTCATTCTTATCTGTGCTAACCTATACTTAAATTATGTCCATGTGTGCCAGTTCTCTTATATGTATTTCAACCTCGTCTCTCTCTCTCTCTCTGTCTCTTAGGTTCTTCTTCTTCTTCTCGCTGCCCTTTTCCTCTTCTGTCTTGTTTGCACGGTGGCTATTGCTTCTTTGTCTTCCCTGTGTGCAGGATGCATTGTCGAAAGCTCGTCAACTGGATGCTTGCATCACGGACTTTGCTGACTCAGATCCTGCCGTCCTTCAGAAGTTCCGAGACAAGTTGCAGGCATCATTCAAATTCAAAGTCGTAATAAATAATATAGATATAGGTTTTATTAATGGTATAAGGTTGCACCTTACTTAGAATTCAATAGTATCAGTCATATCGCACCCTCTCATAATAATGCATCCAGGTGTTTACAGCAGATGGAGAACCAGCAGAGTTGCTGTCCATGAGATTTGCTAAGCAAATGGGTCTGTCGCCTAATTTCAAGGCGGTCGTCAGGTGTTGCATGCACGCCTCCCAGAAAGCCTTGGAGAATGCGATAAAGGCTTGCAAGCCCGCGCAGAAAGTGATCGATGATTTGATCTTCGCATACTCTTCAAGCTCGACGACTGGCCAGGCCAAGGACCTTGGAGGATTGAGTCGCGCCTTGCGTAATTCTTGCAAGGTTAATGCGACTTTCATGCGGTACGCGAATGAGTTTGACGCAGTCCTGGAAAAGGCCTGCAAGGTTAATTCCTTCGCTGCGCAGCGGTTCAACACCATCCTGGAGGTCTCACAGGGGCTTATCTGGAATGTGACTCCGTTGGTGTCCTGCCTTGTCGAAATCCACAAACGAGATGACAGACTGCGTGCGTGGGCAGCCAAGATGCTCCAAGCCCTCTGCCCAAAGAGCCTGATCTTGCTATCGCTCTTGGCAGAGCTTGCTGCCTGCGCATCTAAGTTCTGTCATGCTTTTGACAATGCCAAGAAATCTGGGAAGCGCAGCTCCATCACTCGGACTGCAGGACTGCTGGTGCAACTGAAGGACGAGCTGCAGCGGCTTTTTTACTTCCAACGGCCGGATGGCTCTTTTCAAGAGCCGTTATGCCTGGCGGAGCACTATACTGCGGGATTCCTGCAGCTGCTGCAGAGATCCTACAGTTTGTTGGAAACCAATGCATTCTGACACTTAAGCATAGAGTAGATAAAGGTTTACCTGTCAGAGATTGCCGTAGGAATCACAAGGGATCTTCATGATTGGAAGTATGAATGTGTGTATCTCTTTCAATTATACTTTCAATCTTAGAGCTGGGGGCCTCCGGAACAACACTCTTCCAAGGCTCACGTGGAGAACAACCGCATCGTCTTCTACCATGGCGGGGCGAAAAGCCAAGCGAATCTACAAAGTATGGTGGCCACTGCACTGGGAACAATCCAGACCGTTATCGAGGCCTATCTTGCGGGCCTGGACGGCGAATTTGCCGGGCTCGCGTATTCTCTGCAGCCTTTTGACTGCGAGAGCTGGCAGAAACATTGCAGCGACGATGCTCTGTGGCCTTGTCGCACCATGAGCATACGAGTCCGTGTTGTTTGGCAGATTCCTGTAGTTGGCATTCCGGCGCTCAAGGGTGGAAGTTCTGGGCGATCTCGCCAAGATCCTTAATATGGACGTCTGGCACTAAGCTTATTTTTCAGATTATCGGCTAAACCTTGAATTTCTTTAATTCCAACATCAATCTCACAGACTGGCTTTTTGTATATCATAGGCCTCAGTTCTGGCCAACGAATACTTGACTGCGAGACCTACGACAGAGACACTGCGGAGGCCCAGCCAGGGGGATCTAGTTGCGATTGAGACACCCCCGAAACTTTGGGGGACCTTGCCAGGCGGGGTGTTCGAGACATCAACGACTACTGGTCCCAATCTGCACGACACTGGGGCAAGAGACTGCCCCATCTGTATGAGGCTGCCACGACGGCTGCATTATCATTAGACTGATCATGCTTTTACAGATAGGTTTAGTCAGTTGACTTCTACAATTGCATGATTCAAGGTCGGGCTGCTGCTCAGCATTTTCCCGTCGACGGGAGAAGTTGAGCAAAACTTCAGTTTTGCTCAAATGTACCGGGAAGGTAGAAAAGGCAGTGTCACCACCGAAACGCTGAGGCCAGCTTGGAGTCATTTTGATAACGAAGCTAACTGTCACATCACCGTTGCCACATACAGATAACAAATCATGTGAATCTCCTGCAGGGCCATGCTGAAGTGTCGACTTGACGGCCTTCCTCCGCGTGAGTTCGTGGTCTCTTCGAAGGTGTCTTCGTCTTCGGGGGCTGCATTCGAGGAAACCCCGTCCTTGGATGCGGTGCAAACTCAACGTCGTTTTCTGGAATTATACGGTGGGGGCCGCAATGGGCGGCAGAACGATTTACCTCGCAGACAAATGAAGAGGAAGAGCGATTGCCTGGAAGCCGCTTCGTATGCTTATTATGAGCTTATGTTGTATAATAATAATAATAATAATACTAATCTTTCGATATCCGTTCAGATTCTCAGATCCGAGGAAGTGGTCGACGGCAAAGAAAGCAAGGCTTCACTTCAGCGGAAACGTGCTGCACAACTGCAGACCTTAGAGCCGCGGGCGCTGGCTGATGCAGAATCTTTGGCTGCGAAGGCCGAGGAGGCTGGAAAAAGATTGCAAGGACCGGATCATGAGAAGCTGCTCAAGAAATTGCGAGCAGTGGCAGAAACAAAGCGGAAGAACCTCATGAAGGATGCACTTCCTGTAGGCAGCGAAGCCGACAAGGACACGGCTAAAAAATATGAGGCTGCTGTGGCGAAGGAGGCATCTTTGCAAGCTGAGCTGTCAGAGCTAAAGAAGATCGGCTTCAAGCTGGATCTGTTGCACCGCAACCCTTTGGAAGCCTCCAAAACCATTGTCATTGTGCAGGATGCATCAGCTGCAATAAATTTTCGTGGGCTCGCGATCGAGCATGAGAGCTGGAAAGGAGATACCCCGCAGCTGGAGCGGCTTCTGAAGAAGGAACATGTCATTTGGTGGGTTGAAGATGAGTCAGGCTTTGTCTTGCCTCAAACCGATGACGATGTGTGCGCAATGTTGCTGGCCTCCAGGTTGCTTGGTGGTTATGTTGCCAGCGGGGCTTGGTTGGAGGCATCCAAGCAGTTGGGCAAGATCTTGCCGCCTGCACTGCGGCTGTCTGCCGCTCTACGTTCGGAGCGCAATTGGGAGATGTACCTTCACAAATCTGCCGCCGAAGTGGGTTTGCCGGCTGCTGTGTGCTTGGCACGAGTTCAGGATGCAGTTTTTCGAGTGGCGCCAGCTGGCATAACTTTTATCTTCCGGCCAAAATGGTCGGAAGTGACGGGCAAAAATGCGATTGTTTTGACTCACTCTGGCAGTGTACAGAAAGCTAAGAGATTTCAACAAGGACATGCCCGAAAGGGGAAGATCTTGGAGCCACTGGGTTTCGTCGGGGTTCTCTCCGAATGGCAGAGAGGATGAACTCAGGATGGGAATGGCATAGCCTAGCAGTCCAAGTCATCGATGAAATAATCCCAGAGCTAGATCCAGGGTCCTTTCTAAGACAAGCTTACTCTTGGACCGCTGTGCTATAACGAGGGGCCCGGGGAAGAGCCTGGCTATGTTCGCAGAGCGCTCTGCGCATGGCAAAAGGATGACAGTCTCAGCTCAGGCATAATGGAGGTTTATGCCTGATTCGCGCATGCGTTTCAAGCTCCACTCTGTTCCTGTTGCCAGGCTTTCATCATCTCCGGTGTGCCCGGGCCCAAGGCAGTTTTTGTGTGACTTCACAAGCGTTTCTTATCTTGTCGCGGGTGCAATTATTGGTTTGGTCTACGAAGCTGGGCGACAATGATACTTGTATGCTTGCCGATGTTCGCAGCTTCGTGCGACTTCCTGATAGCTCCATTCCCGGGCCTTCTCGCAGTCAAGCGATTGC